CATGATTCCAATTCTACCTCCGTGTGAGTTTGTTAAACAAATTATTTAAAAATAGTTGTTATTCACCCCTACTTAACTTGTTTATTTATAGTTGATAGCTTATTTTCTTTCTTCGAGAGATACATGGAAGGTATTAAACGAGACCTATTACACTGTTGACTTAGAGCTAACTTGGGAGGAGAAGAATTCTCTTGTCTCCTTTGTTAATGATGTCCTGACTTTTATGAGCATTTATGGAGCTGACTGGAATTATACAGGATACGATATGTGCCACTAGTCCACGAGTTGAGCGATGCTAGCATTTGTGCAAATATCATGATAAGATTATTTTTTACTATTATGTTATGTCACTAGTCCATTTTTTCATACATTCTTATTAAGTAAACTTACATTGCTAACTCTACTACTGCGTTCTTGAATAGAAGGTCTCGAATGACAATTGTTTGCATACAGTCATAGACTAGTTTCCAACATGCATACTCGATTGAATGTCAAACAAATGGATGCCTCAAAATCAAAGGATAGAGTCAAATAGTGAATGAGCACATGCCACGAATTAGAGACTGGTGGATCTCTATGCTCCTTAATGGAGATGAAGTTTTTTTTCCTGTTTTATTCTATTTTACCTAGGAGAGAGGAGTAGGTTCTAGTACTTGTCATGTGCTCGGAAGTTATTTACCTAGGATGATAACAATTAGCTAGTGGTGGTTAACTTATGATGATGATGATGACGATGATGATGATGAGACATTGTTATATCACTATGATGATGATGAGTTGTTATATCACTACAATGATGATAAGTTGTTATGTCATTTCTAGTGTATAAAAATTTGTATAAGATTATATAACCACAATATAAATATATAAAAATAAAATACACAGATTTAATAATGATGTGAGGTACTATACCCAGCGCTAAAGCTAGTTAGTAGTAGCGCGGGATAAAACACACGCTACTACTAGCATAAGTAGTACTAGTAGCATGGGTCCACCAGCGCTACTACTAGCCAATTAGTTGTAGTGCGCTAGCAGTAACCCGTGCCCTGACCTTTACCCTGTATCACTACTAGGATTATCCTAGTGGTGCAAAGTAGAGGTACTGAACTTGAACCAAACACCTGAGCCATTATGGGCGTGCACATCATCAGTGGAACGAGAGTAATATATACTTGAGTGTATGGCACATCTCGTTATTGTTGTACGGGAATTTAAGATAGTGTTTGGGCTAGGGTGGCATGCCAATGCCATGGTGACCGCTTGAACTGAATGCGAGTGGTGTACTGGATGCTTTGGTGTACTGGAGTATGTCGTTGTTAATTCCAAGAAAATACTATTCTGCGTGTGGGTTGTCAGGTAGCTACCTAGGGCGAATCCTATTTGACGCTGCAAGCCCCGGTTATTACTCTTTCTGCAAACCGTCGCCTCTAGCCTTGTTTATTGGGCTCGGCCCATTTCTCATTTTCTTCTGTTTTCAGAAACGTAAAAAAAAGTCACGAGCACAGAGGTTTGAATCAGGACACCTTCGTTGTGAGGGCAATGCTCTAACCATCACGCCATCATCCCGCTCATGCAAACTTACTTCGCTTCTATTCTTATTTAGTTTTCTAGTTCATTTTATTTTTTGTAATCCTTCTCTATTCATTCTTTTTTGTTTTCTTTAATGCGTGATTTTTTCTCAAATTTCGGGAACCTTTTTTCTAAATTGATGCAATTTTTCAATTTTATTATTTTTTAAAAAAATGATGAACTTTTTTTAGAAAATCGATGAATATTTTTTTCAAATTTAATGAACTTTCTTCATTTTTTTGAACTTTGTACAAATTTGATGAATTTTTTAATTTGATTATTTTTTCAAATTTAATGAACTTTTTTCAAAATCAATGAACGTTTTTTGAGAGTCGGTGAACTTTCAAATTTGATGAAATTTTGTTTCAATTATTTTAGAATTGATGAACCTTTTCACAATTTTATGAACTTTTTTCATTAAAAACTCGACTTTTCCAAAAAAATAGCTCAAAAATATAAGTGGTATTGTGTAATAAATAGCGCGACACTTATGGTTCTTCAAGAATTTGCGTTTTCTATCAATCACTAGTCTTCCGATGGTGTAGTCGTTAGCTGAACAATCCTGAAATGTAGCGGCACGAGTTTGAGTCGTCGTTGTGGCACAGTGGCGGTGCCAGGATCAAAACCTTGTGATGTCAGGTTTTGTACTAGTGAATTTTTGTAGACAAATTAAATAGGAACACAAAGGATTGTAATTCCTTTTTAAAGATAGTTAGTATTTCAAATTTATTACCAGTGTTTCTTTCAATGCATTATTTTTGAGCTATTTTAATATTTTAATTATAAATGTATTTTCGAAAAAAGTATATATTTGCAAGTACTATCGTCATAGCTTATTATCTTTGACCATGTTCAATTTTTTTTTGCTGATACATAGATTTGAGACATATGAAATGGCGTTTGAATTAAAAAAAGACACAATAAAACTGAATGTGAAAAAATGTTCGAACAAGACAACTAGAGTAGATGGGCAAGCGTAGAACATCTGACCTTCGGAGACAATGCTCACAGAATAGATTAAACGAATACAGATGTAACTAGAGGCTCAACATCTTGAGAAAGAAAATACATGATTTATATAAGAGCTGATGATTTTTAGATTTAACTCTTGGCGATTGCGGAGTCGAAAAGAAGCAAGAGACTGGTACAAATGGAGAATAGACTTCGGTACTATTGCATGTCCTCAAGTATCCCACATAAGTGTGTATTTCCTCAAAATTTCATATATTTAGACCAATATCTAATGCTATTTCTATAGTTATTAGGACTTCCATTGCAAATTTGCTTTTTTTCCAGCCAAAAGTTACCCAACATAGATGACGAGTTGGCCTGTTTAGGCATTTTTAAAAATTGTTTATTCAGCAGCTCAGTACCCATACATGGGAGTACTTGACCTGTGAAATTCATGTGTAGTCAAGTGACCACACAACCAAAACGTGGCTTCGCCACTGTTGTGGCATATCTTTTTGAGATACCGTTGTGGCATATTTTTTAGTTCTTTTTTCGCGAGACAGTTTACTGCTCTCTTAGTCCGTGGGCCAGCCCACTTGGCGTTGCTTCCACGGCGCCGAACGTGCCGAATAGTGTGCACCCCGAACATACTGCATTTCATTCTGTGCCGGCCCAATACCTTCCTCTCGCCACCAATTTGGGGAAAACCTACCCAAAATCATTTTCAAATATATAGGTATTACTTTGGTTTTTATTTCTTTGTTCATTGTTTTATTTTTCCATATTCATGACCATTTTTCAAAATCATGAACATAGTCCAAAATTTGAGAATATTTATGAATTTAAAGAATATTTATTAAATCTATAAATATTTTTTCAAAATCAAGAACATCTTTGAACTTTTGGAATATTAATTAAATCCATGAATTATTTTGAAGTTAGTGAAGATTTTCATATTCCTGAACAGTTTATAGTAATTTTTTAATTCATGAATATTTTCTAGTGTGAACATTTTCTAATTTCAGGGGGGTTCAAAATTGTTGAACTTTTTCTAAAATTCATGTTTTTAAAAAAGATTTGTGATGGTTTTTTAACATTTTGGAATACTTTTTATAATTTTGTAAACATTTTTAAATTCATATTTAGCGCTTAAGACATCACTTATAAACTTCTTTGTGCATGGCACACACCCTCCCTAGCACCTTTACGTAAAATGGGGAAAACTTATGTAGGGTTGCATTTTTGTGAAGTTTAAGCCTACATCATCCAGTTTTGTGAAGCTACTAGAAGCTTTTGGTTGGGGTTTTTTCTATTGGTTTTCTGTTTATTAATATTATTTTATTTTTCTTTCATTTTTTTAAATCCATGACTTTTTTTCAAACTCGCGAGCTTTTCCTATCTCACAACCTTTTTCAAATCTGCGAACATTTTTTGTCAAATTCATGGGTTTTTCTAAATCATGAATTTTTTTTCCAAATCCTTGACAAATTTAAAATATGCGAACCTTTTTCAAATTCATGAATAATTTCCGAATTCACAAACAATTTGTCAAATCCAGTATCTTTTTAAAAATCCACTAACTTTTTATAAACTCGCAAACTTTTGTTCAACTTCATCATTTTTTTTATAACTCAATGTGTCAATGGTCAGTCAAACAAGCGAAGGGGGTACGGCCCTAGCGAGCCAGCAACTCGCAATGGTGGGTTGGCCCACGCGAGAGAGGATTGTGATCCCAGTTCCTAAACCAGCGCTGAAGGCACTGACTAGGAGCACTCCAGGCTACTGCTACTTTTTTATATAGTAGGGCCATCACCAAGTTTTTTTAGGGGTAAACATGCTCACTTTATTGCTCAACAGAAAGTTGGACAAGAATTACATTAGGGTCATGTGGGCTTAAGAACCAGACATGACGCCCTTCTGAAAGAGAAAGATCATGTTTAGCTAGGGAATGCACCTCTACATTAGACACACAACCTTCATGAACCATAGAGTAGGAGCTGAACGCCGTAATCCGGTGTTGTATCTCTTTGATGGTGGCGGTGTTGTTTCCATTCGAGCCTTTACTTAAAATCAGAACCAAACTATTGCAATTAGTGGCTAGTTTTTTTTAGGCAATCAGTGTCTGGCTTGATGTGAGTCAAATTGAGATCGGCCACTACTACCTGGAATATGGGAAAGGAATGCACATTGGACCAAAAGTTTTTTTTAGACAAACATTGGACCAAAAGGTAAACGGGAGACAGCAGAGGTCCAATCAACTCTGTTTCTTCAACGTCTCTCTACCTGAGCACGATTCAGCCCAACTAAGGCCTTAGGCCCGCCAGACAGGACGATTTTGATGTCAAAAGCAAAAAAACAAAAGAACTCGCGAGGACGAATTCGTTATCGTCTTCCTTCCACGTCTTTATATCTGATGGCTCTTCTCCCCGTGTTCGAAGAGTACAAAAACAACCGCAATCCGCAATCGCGCAGGGATCCCGATGGCAGGCTCCGGCGAAAGCGCGAGAACTACGGCGGCGTCGCCTCCCGGACCGCCCCCCGGGTTCGGCGAGGGCGCCCCGCCGGACAACGCTCTGCACGCCCTGGGCTTCGAGTACACCCGCATCACCGGGAGCGAGGTCCTTGGCCGCCTCGCCGTCACCGAAACCTGCTGCCAGGTACGTGCGCGCGCCTGCCGCCGCCGCCGCCACCGGCCGTCTTGCCGGACCACGTGTGTATGTACTCGCGCCGTGATCGTCTTAATCAGTCGCTGCCGTCGGCGTGGTCGCAGCCCTTCAAGATCCTCAACGGCGGCGTCTCGGCGCTGATGGCAGAGTCGACGGCGAGCATCGGCGGGTACATGGCGTCCGGGTACCGGAGGGTGGCCGGCGTGCAGCTCTCCATCAACCACCTCAAGCCCGCCCGCCTCGGCGACCGCATCGAGGCCAAGGCGAACCCCATCCAGGTCGGCCGCAACGTCCAGGTAACTACAGTCTACAATCAAACACTATTTTATCCCCACACGAGACAAAATTCTTCCATACGCTGGTTCATCGTGCAGATCCCATTTTGTTTTCAAACGGAGTTCATCGCCCAAAATAAAAGATCAATTGATAAAAGCCAGTCTGCTACTGGCTTACTGCATCTGCAATTTGATTAGTCAGCTGCTGCCTGTGGAAGGAATGGTCAAGATTCCGGGTTGGTTGGGCGTTACTAGTATAGAAAATTAAACGAGCAGACAGCAAGATGAGATGCACAAGTTTGACACTTCTGCTTGCCTCACAGGTCTTCTCTGGCGGCTAACACATTTCCCTTTTCAAACACACTAAAAGAAGAAAAATGTTCTGGGCAAGATAGTGACGGATGGGGTCAGATTAATTGCAGCAGTCCATGATTAACCATGAAATGTCCACGTATCATGCTGTCGGAATATACTTTGTTAAGACTCACTGAACTCAATCTACAATTATAGATGTGCATATGGCTCGTCTTCTATATTTTCCTTGTTTCTTCAGGTATTTCAGTTATTTGCACAATTTGTCAGTCAAAAGTGTCTGTATTTTCTGAAAAACCATTGTAAATCTGACAGGTTTGGGAGGTCCAGATATGGCTGTTGGATCCTGCCACATCGGAGCACAAAGATTTGGTATCATCAGCAAGGGTTACCCTGCTAACCAACTTGTCAACACCAGAGGAAATGAAGATCTATGAGAAGGGCATCAAGAAATATGCAAAGCTTTAGGAACTGTAATATGTTGAGCACAATATATAGCAGTCCAACAAAAATTAAGTATATAAGTTGATATCCAAATCACTTGATCAAGAATGTATCACTTGCAATTGTTTGCAAATGTCCGGGACTACCGTGACAAGCATGTATCACTTGATTAAGAATTTTAGTCGAGAAGTGATGATAATCCAAGTAAGAATTCAGATATAGTGCTACAGATTGCATATCCCGCCTCCCTTTTTTTTGTCATCCAGTCTGACATCTTCCTACATCACTAGTCATCTTCCTAGATCAATGCACTGTGAGACTCTGCCTGCATAGTATCTGAAGGAAATAGAATCATGACTAACTTTTCTTTTGACCAATATTTGGGAAACTAATGAAAAGCTACCCAAGTTTTAGGAAGTAGTTGATGATACATTTACCCGTTACGTCTTCTGCAACTACTTTTGACAAGTTATCAGCTGTTTTTCAACTGTTGCAGAGCCTATTGAAAAAGAAGAAAACATTTGCCATTCTACGAATTAGAAATCATTTATTCAGATAATTTACTCACTCTCCATGCCGGAAATGAGAAGATGGCCAGTGACAGAACTGAGCTTTTCACCTGTAATCAGGATCAGGGAAGTTCCACCAACTAGCACTCTGTTCAACTTTTAGAACGGGTTTTGACCGGAAGAAATGACAAGTGCAGAACTGATATGGAACTTAAACTTTGTACTACAGGATAGGGTGATGCTTGAGATAGCTGCCAATGGAGTAACATTGGGGTAGTATTACTGAACGGTCAATTCTACTTAAGGCTAGAATTTGTGCAGGTGTAACTGGAGCTAGGTTTGTAGTGCAAACAACCATTTCAGCACATGAGCACAATTGCAGGGTGGTGACATTATTCTTTCAAACGCAATCTCTGAATTGATGATGGTTTGTATAGAAAAGAAAAACCCTCACTTGCGAGCTTGAACAATCAATGACAGGGTAGAACAGACAAAGGAACAAGGAGGCCAAGTGCAGAGCAACTGAACTAAATAAAAGGGGCTCAATAGGAGATTGATACTGTAATTCTCAAGCTCGCAAGAAACTCATACTCACAACTTCGGTGCCACTCTCGTGCCCCTCGGACGGGACTGCCAATCGTTTGCCTGGACAGTTCCAATGTTGCTTCCGTGCAATAGAAGATATGGCTCGGTCGTTAGGATCAAGTGCCGGTCATGGCTTCAAATCAGGATGTGCCATCTAAAACTGATATCATCATTCTTAAGTCAAACATAGAAATAAGAACAATGTGTTAATGATGAGATCAGTTTGTATAGAATCATAAGAAAATTATGGCATCTCTCTAAGGCACACATAAAGACAGTTGCTGCAACTTGCTTTGTCACAAAGGAAAATCTTCTAGTCTAAGTGAAGCTCATACCACACTAGTAACTAATACTATCAATACTATCAATTACCCGCAAAAAAAAAACTAATACTATCAATTAAAACCAGCACAATGCATACAATAGATCTTGAGCAACCAGGAGGTAACATTATTTACATACATGTTTAATTTGGTCGTAAACTTGAACCAGGACCAGTAAGACATTTGGCTTTGCCTCTATCTCTTGATAGGACCAAACCCGTAGATTCATGAATGATCGCTAACGATATGATATGACAGATAAATCTATAACAAGGCTCGGACAAAGAAAGGAGTGTGTCATACTGATAGTAAATGATGTACTTGCAGGACTTGGTTTTTCGTTTTTGGACTTCGGGTTTCGGAGCATAAACTACTGTAAACTTGGATGTGGTATATGGTTTCATTAATGATAATGTAATGCGGGGAGGAGGGGGGGTTCATAAAAACGTACATGACATTCTCACTAATGTTCGAAAATAAACCTGAATTTGTAATATCTTGCTGGCATTTATGTGACCCCGTAGGGTGGATTGCACATGTGATGAGCTTCATGCCAGAAACGGTGCCGAAGGACCCGGAATGGCAGGTGCCTGCCTATTATTTCGCCAAGGACAACGACAGAATAGCCAACACCCACACCTCTGAACCTGGTGGGCATGACGATGAGAGCTTTATCCCAAGATCAGAATGCAAGTCGGAGACTAGCCTATCTCGTGGAATCATGCCCTCCATTGGTTAGTGCGTTCGTCTTGATGTCTCTCTGCACTCGACGCGCGTGTGTGTAACGACAAGAGTGTGCTACTGGTAAGTGTCTATGGTTCTGTCCTCTATCATTAGCGCTTCACGTGGAATTTGATCTGTGTACCTTGTATAGCAGTGCCCTGGACAACAATATAAAGAGATAGTTACACGGTTTGCTGATATGTTAAAAAAGGAAAATGTTTGAACATGGCTGGTCGACACAACTTTGAGCCGGACGCACGCGATGCGTCCGATCTGGTGGGAGGCAGCTCCGAGCGTCCTGCCATTCCACCTTGCAATGGGCGTCAACACCGCCCTTCTTATTCTCATATCTTTCCCACCCTGTGAAATATCTCTCTTGTTGCTGTAGCAGCACATCTCCATCTCCTCCGCTGCTCATTCACCTTTTTTTTGCAGGGAATCCGAGTTTTTATTTCAATTCAATAGGGTTGCAATCAGCTATTACAAGATCCTTAACAAAATAAGGAGCTCTATGCAACCAACATGCATTGTTTCGAGTTGTCCATACATAATTCATAGGACAATGAGCTACCCTAGCTACCCTATTTTACGATCTAGCAATCTTATTCTGTTTGAACTCTCACTCTTTCATAGAATGTTTGATTTCTCGCTCATCCCCTTTCTTCTTCACCGCAGCAACAAACATCGAGGAGGGGCAGCAAAAAGCTGGCCGCGCGATGTGCCCTGGCTGGCTTCGAGCACTGCTCTCGATGGCCGCTGCATCCCATGTGTTTTCTTGTAGGAAAAGCCAGGGGATCTTTTCGCTGCATTTATTTTGGTCCGTGTGCACTTATCGGTGCTGGGTCACGGCTGGGCTCGGAGGCCATCTTTTCGTCTGTGTGCACTATTGGGTGCTGGGTCACGGGTTGGGCTCGATGGCCTCTTTTATTTGTGCGCTTTGGCATCTTTCGCAGCCGACAGCCGTGCATTTTCCCTGTGTTGGCGATACAGCTAGTAGAATTGGGCCTAATAAACTGGTCACGTGCTGATTAAACTTTCGGTATGGTACTAATCTGCCCGGTGGATTTCTTGTCCCACACCGGCCCGAGGCCCGTTCCCCTTCCACTCTCGTGTCTTCGCCGCAGAGTCTCCTGCTACTCATGGCGGGTGTAGCACCTCTGCGTGCACGTCGTCGCCGCCACTGCCAACAGCTTGGCCGCCGCGGTCGTCGTCGCTGGGTCCTCCCTTTTCTCCACCTAGGTCAGTTAGCCTCCCTGCTCCCGTCATCCCCTCGGAACGGCAACGGCGGAGCAGCGAGGAAGCCCTAGGCACCGCCAATAGCATAGCCATCGCCAACAGCCCTGCCGCCGCGGCCTAGGCAGCACCACGGCGTTCCGCCGACGCAGCCTTACACCACCGCGTCCCGCTGCCGCCGCCTCGCACCACTGCTTTCTGCCGCGGCCTCGCACCATTGCGTCACACGACACCCAGGTCGCCGCTGCACCCAGACTCTGAATCTTCTCATTTATTTTGTTATTAATTCCACGGTTTATGCCCAATATGCAAAGCTTTAGGAACTGTAATATGTTGAGTGCAATATATTGCAGTCCAACAAAAATTAAGTATATAAGTTGATAATCCAAATCACTTGATCAAGAATGTATCACTTGCAATTTTTTGGAAATGTCCAGGACTACCGTGACAAGCATGTATCACTTGATCAAGAATTTTAGTCGGGAAGTGATGATAATCCAAGTAAGAATTCAGATAGTGCTACAGATTGCATATCCCACCTCCCTTTCTTTTTTGCCATCCAGTCTGACATCTTCCTACATCACTAGTCATCTTCCTAGATCAATGCACTGTGAGACACTAAAGGAAATAGAACCATGAATAACTTTTCATTCAATCACTTTTGGGGAAACTAATGAAAAGCTATCCAAGTTTTAGGAAGTAGTTGATGATACATTTACCCGTTACGTCTTCTGCAACTACTTTTGACAAGTTATCAGCTGTTTTCCAACTGTTGCAGAGCCTATTGAAAAAGAAGAAAACATTTGCCATTCTACAAATTAGAAATCATTTATTCAGATAATTTACTCACTCTCCGTGCCGGAAATGAGAAGATGGCCAGTGACAGAACTGAGCTTTTCACCTGTAATCAGGATCAGGGAAGTTCCACCAACTAGCACTCTGTTCAACTTTTAGAACGAGTTTTGACCAGAAGAAATGACAAGTGCAGAACTGATATGGAACTTAAACTTTGTACTACAGGATAGGGTGATGCTTGAGACAGGGTTTTGACCGGAAGTTCCACCGCCAA